AAGTTCTTAGTTGTTCTTATGTTGGTTTTTGGTTCGATTATGATCTTCTTGTGTGATCGGTGGTTGTTCAAGAAAGCTTTGTGTGTGTTGTTGCCTTATAATGGTGGATCGCTATTGTCTGAAGGCTCGCTTGTGAGATGGGTGTTAATCCACTGTTTTCAATTGCAAACTAATTTTCTTCAGTTGTGGAAGGGAATTCTTGAAAAGATTTGCTGGATGTCTTCTCCATAACATTTTATTCTCATCTTGAAAGATTTTGTTGAGATCTGGAATGAGATCTTCAAGAATCATGAAGAAGATTATTCTCCTCCTATAGGGGCAAGATTTGAGGCGTGTGTTTCAGTATTGATTATGGATCTCTGTTTTTGTATTATTTCAACTGAAGAAGGGAATTCTGCAGAAATTGTTTTTGGGAAGTTCAGTATAATTATTTAGGTTGATGAATTTAATCCTGATTCATTTTCTATGAGAGTTGAGGTTCAGTTTATTGCGGTTTCTTCTCGGAATGCCGCCTTTATTGCAGTTTTTTGGCTGTATTTGTTTGGTATTTACATGGAAGAAAATATGAGTCCTTCAGGTAGCATGAAGGATATAGAGTTTTTTAGTATTGGAGCTTTTGAAGATGTGATATTCCTGTTCTTTTTGGGGAACTTTGATTGTGGAGAGGCCGATTCTTAGTCTCTAGTTGTGGGAGTTGGTGATATTGCTTCGTCGACTTTGTTTTGTTTGTCCATGGTGGTTGTGGATGGTTGCATTGAGGTTTCAGAAGATACTACTCTTGATTGGAGTTTGTTGGCCTCAAAGAATGTTTAGGACGGTCATTTTGATGTTTTGGCAGCTGCGTTCTTAGTTGCTGTTGTTGGTTATGTTGAAGCAACAACGAATTCTATTCTTGATTGGAGCTTGTTAGACCCTAAGATTAATGAGGTTTGGTTCTATGTTTGGACAGCTAGTTTAGTTAGTTGTTTTTATTTTTCTTGAACCTAGTTGTTATTTGCTTGTTTTGCTTTTACGCTTATTATACCTTTTTAAAACCATTATGATGATATATGGGATTTTTACTATGTTTCATTTTTCATCTTTTGGGAAAGCTGGGATACTAACCAACCTTTTAGGTTGTTTAAATATTTGGTATCCCCATCACCCCAATGGATCTAAAATGGAATTTAGTGGATCGCATATCCATTATGATAGTTTTAAAGGGTTTGCTTTTGCTTTCTAGTTTGTAATAGGTTTTTCTTCTTTTAATGCTATTTGCATTTCTTCAAAAAAGAAAAAAAAAGTAGTAGATGATGATAATCTTTTGTTTTTAAGCCTGATAGTAAATTTGATTTTATGAATAATGATATGAGAACTGAAGTTCTTATTCCTATAAATATGGATATTTCTTTCTTATGTAATATGTAGTGATATGCACGGCTAAAAGAAATTTTTTTTTTGCCATGTCTACAGTTGATATTATTTTTGTGATTAAGAACTTATTGCAAAGTTACTCCCATATAAAAAAAAAAATGTTTACAAAAGGAATAGATCTTTAAGGTATATGCATAGACAACAAGAAGTCAAAAAAGAAGTTGTTAAGAATTTCTTCGTAATGACAACAGAGAGGGAATGTAAGAAAAACATTAATACCTCTGTTAATAAGAACATAAATAGTCTTAAGACCCACTTAAAAATTTTCTAGTCATGGAAATAAAAATTTATAGCCATCTCCTTAAACAAAATATATTTATGGGAACTACATAAGGAGAAGAGTGGTATGAGTTATTGTAAACAAGCTTATTTGTGAAGCTTATAACAATTATAAACACAACCCAAAATAAATACTAATCTTTTTGTTTTTTTATTTTTTGTAAAAAGCAAAGAACAAAATTTTGTTCTTTTTATTTTTCTATTTTTTTAAATTTCTTTTTAAAACAAAGATCAAATACAATCAACCATAATAATTTTGTATCACAATGATAATAAAGCTCAACCCAGGTTACATAAAGATAAATAAGCAAGGGAAGTAAAACTGCATAAAGTAAATGCGAAAAGAAAAAAAAAAGAACACAAACCAAATTTTTATAATGGCTCAGTCAACTTGAACTACATTCACTTCCCAAAGGTTATCTTCAAGTATTGCAATAATCAATAGTATCTCTCCTTTTTTCTCACGACTTGGTTAAGAAGCTCATACAAACTCAAATTTCTTTCACCTCCACGGTGCGGAGTATTTGAAATCCATTTCACCTCCTCATTGCGGCAGAGTAGCCAAAATTACTTTCACCTCTTTGCATTTGCAGAGTAGTTTAAATTCCGTTTACCTCCTTGGCGTTACGGAGTAGTAGGTGATCTTTGGCCTCAAAGACTTCTTCATAAAGCTTCCCTCAAGATAAATAATGACATAACCAAGATTAATAGGTGAAAATCCTAACTCAAACCATTAGTGGATTGAAAGATAGCAAATTATTTAAAAGAAAAAAAATAGTAGCAAATTCCTCAACTTGTTGGCCCAAAGAATACATGGAATTGGTAAGCATACATGGCATTACCCATTGCAGTCATTTTCTAGCTTTACGCAGACCCCAAGATATTCACATCTCCTCATCTAAAATTAACCAATATAGAGTGGGCGAAGAGAAAGAATAGCTAAGGAAATGGTTCCCTTTTTTTTTTTTGGGGAAATTTGGGGCCAAAGCCCATATATTAATAAAAAAGGTTACAAGTAAAGCAAATTACAAGTAAAAGTAATAAAACCGCCCACCATAAGCAAAAAAACAAAAACTTATGAGGGCCAAAAACAAGAGAAAAACCCCAACTATACCAACACTAAAATGCAGCGATTAATAAACAAAACTGTGGATTGGAGCAGCAAAAATAACAGTTAAAGAGGCAAACAGCAGATCGAGCCCGGGTTTCAGGATGAGATAATGCCCAGCACCTGCAAAAAGAAGAGACACCACGCTCTCAGCCCGTGAGAGAACTGGACTCAGGATAACATTAGAGCACGAGAAATTGATGGTACCCTGGTTGCCCGAAGACCCTCCAAGGGCCCTGCTAATGTGAGCTTCATCATTGTCCAGTTCGGGCATAGCAGGAATAACGAAGGGACATGAAAATGGGCCAGCCCGCGAAGAAAACCTCCCCAGCCGTGGGAAGGAGAAACATGTATCACTAGTCATTCGAAAGAACCTCCCAGGGACAAGAAAATTCAGGAGAACAGAGCCAACATTAACCAGAAATGGTTCCCTTTCACTAAGAGTTTTTCCTATTGTCTAGTACGACACAAAGGAACTTATGTAAGGGGGAAACAAGCTTGCATGAGGCTTTCGACCTCTATATTCCCCCACAGGTGGTTATCTAATCTTCACCCCACTTAGATCTCCCTTAAGACTTTAGCTTCTTATGGAAAGCCAAGGTTTGATAATCTGAACCCAAGAAAATCCCTGGAGCCTAAGTTGAACTCGATCTTCTTTCTTCTGAATTGTGAACTCGAGCCATGTTTATAAAAAAAGTCATTATGCAGGACCAACAACACTCTCTACAGCACCAATGAGCTTTCGAGGTGGCACCCTAGCCAATAACCACCTTCCACGAACTCCCTAGCTAGTTGAAGCCTTTAAAAGCTCATGATTCATCTTAGGCGATCAATTGAAGAAGAGAGTATACCCATCAAATTCTAATGGGTCTAACATTTTTACACATTACACACATTTAGGTTTCATTTAAGACAATTTTCTTATTATTTCTTAAAAAAAAATTAAAAAATATATATATATATATTTTAAGAAGTAATAAACAAGCCATCCAAATGAAACCTCAACCCAATTTGAATTTATTCTACTTATGCAAAAAAAAAAAAAATCTAAGGTGCTGAAAAAGAATGAGGCAGCACTTTGATAGTGCCAGAATAGCATTGCCACATTCTCGCTAACCGAGAGGGTAGAGCTGACCAACCCAACAAACATATTGTGCTTAAGTAATTTTTTTTTGCTATTTAGATGTCCACTGCATGTCTTTCTTTAAATGTTTCCGTCTCATAATAGTTCATAGTCCTCAAAATATATAAATCTGGAAGCTTTTCTAAAGCACCAAAAACTATTGAAATTTAAGATCCAAGCTGAAATTTTAATTTTACGCAAAATTACAAACTGAATCAATATCATCATTTTGTTGGCTTTATCAATACTCCATTGGTGTTCTAAAGAGATAAAAAGTTTTCTTAAATGTTATTTATTTGAATCTTATGTGACTATAAAAATTTCTGAATTTTAACAGATTGAAAAACTGTTTGAAATGCCTTCAATTTTTTATAAAATTAGTTGTAAAATTAGTATAAAGAAAAAAATTTAACCACTTTATTTGTAAAAAATAATCTTTTCAGTATAAAAATTTCTAAAACAACATAAAAAAAACAACAAAATAGCAATAACAAGCAAAATTATGATTCACGTTTGAAAAAATAAAATAACTAGAATACTGTACTCAATAAACACTCAATTTGATCAAACATCAACATTTGTCGAACATAAAAAGTTAGGAAAACAAATCGTTTTCCAGCAGGATGAAATAACTAAAGAGCTATCAAAATGATGGCGATCGGTTGTGACTTCAACCGTTCCTGATAAAATATGATTGCTTTAAGAAAAGCTGATTTCATAGAAGCCTGAGATAACTCGCAGCCAATGAATAACAACTCTTACAAAAAAATCGACATGCTTAAGGTTATAGAAAAATCTAGTATGTATTTAGGTGTATATAGATGAAGTATTTATCCCCTAAAACAAATATCCAAAGCATTTAAATTTAGATTAACTTCTCATTTTCGCAAAATAAGCACTAAGCTATGTTCAGTTCAGTTGGAACCACACCCTAACCCTTAAGCCTTATCCTGCTGATGTGCATTTCAAACAAACCGCATATCACACAAGCGCCCATCTTAACGGCACCAGTCACATTGCCCTCACCGTGAATCAATATGAACAAAAACCATTCCCAGAAAGTAATCAAGAACAAAATGCAAAGCAATAAAAAATAGGATCAAATATTTGAAGGCGAGGCAATATAAACAATCAACGACCAATGTCTCAACCAAGTAATTTCACTTCAAAGCTTAGCACTCAATGACAAATCACCCCATAATCTTCTGTTTTTTTTTTTTTTTTTTGGGTTGTTTGGGGGGGCGGACATTCTCATAATCTTCTCTCATTGGAGCTCCGCAATAATCTTAATGTCAGATCGTATAGATAGATGTAGTTGACTTACAGAACAATTAAGCACAACATCGCATCATCATTTTATGTTTCCATCAAAAGAGGAAGTACCTCACAGGCTTCAGCTGTAGATATTAAATTATATGGTCGCAGCCTAAAATTACTTTTGGTGAAAAGCTTTCCCATTCACATCCAAAACAACGTTCCAGCAGAAGCTGAATATTATTTTCATAAGCTTGCTTCCAAATACACATCCTCTTCTTCTACTTTCTTCTTCCTAGCTTCTGCCTCCATCTTGACCTGGTTGCCAATGGCAACTGATACAGCCTTGGGTAATAAGAATCCAGGTCTCTCAAGAAAAGGAGCTCTATCCAAAATCAAAGGCTCTCGCTCCGTCACCTCAATGCCTTCAAAGGTCCACAGTACCACAGTGGCTTTACATTTTAGTCCCAGAGAAAACCATCCAAGTCCTGAAACTGATAGGTCCACGCTGTTTACTTCCCAGGTACTTCCAGAAACATTGAACACTCTTGCTTCCCACTCACCCAATTCAGTTGCTCGATCCTGTCCAATTGGAGGCTATGCATGCCAGAAACATGATTAGAATACCATATAAATGCTCAAGTCCTTCAGAGTATCGTAGGGATGACAGTAATGTGCATTTCAGAAATGAACCCACATAGATACGTAATTCAACTAATAAGACTAATTTCTAAGCAAGCAAGTGTCAAAGCGGAAGTTCACCTGCAGTCTGATGCCAAAATGCTTGCTTCGTAGCTCTTCCGCATTGTCTATTTTTCCCATATGCAGAGAAATATATGGCGATGCCCATACAGTGATATAGATCGTTTCTAGGGAACATTCAATTAGGTCTAATCTCATCAGGCCACCTACATGAACCGTCTGTCCTACCTGTCACGGGAAGAAGAAAAATTACGAGGGAGCATAGATAATAACAATGCCAAGTCCAAGTTTTTTACTTAAATGATTTCTTGATTATTTATGTGAAATAATAAAAGAATATTTAACAGAGTGAGAGACTCTAATGGTAAGTAGTGCTCAAAGAAAGCAAAGGCTGAAAAACAAGAAGCATTCCTTCATGTAACACAACAAGTCACAAATTTGAAAGCACAAACCTTTTAAATCTGGCTGTAGTTCGAAAAACTAGCTGAATGCTACAGGAGAAATACGTGGAGACATCATATTGGTTATATAAGATACAGTTTGGCTCTCATGCTTCATTTAAATCCATCATTTTCTTTACCTACAGGAAAAGTATAACAGACCTTAATCCTGTAAGTCCGTGGTTGCAGCTCCTTCCTTATTTCAACCATCTTTTGCTCCTCTCTGTTTAGCCTCATTGTCATAAGATATGGATGCAAAAGACCGGGAGTATCATAAATCTTTGCTTTGGCTGGCAAAATTCCAACAATCCTTAAAATTCCCAAAGTAGTACCAGGCACGGAAGCCTCTGTTATCCTTGTCACCTTCACCCCTTCATTCCTCGCAATTGTATTGATCAATGTAGACTTCCCTGCATTTTGTGCCCCAATCACCCATACATTACCTCGTGGCCCTGCCAATTCCTTGATGAAAAAAAGTAAATTTCTGACACCAAGATCCTTCCGAGCACTCACTAGGTAAACACCATTAAGCTTGGGGGCTCCTGCGGCCTTTGCACGGCGCCGAACCCACTTATCCAACCTTGCTGGAGATATTTGTTGGGGTAGAAGATCAACTTTGGTTGCAACAAGGACAAGCTTTGGCAACTTGGTCATCTTTGAACGGTTCATGGATACCTCCAAGGCCTTGAACAAAGAATTTGCAGCTCGTTTCGGAAATGAGCCATCGAAATCAACACAATCAACAACAATAACTACCACTGGAGAATTGCTTGATGATCTAGCAAGTTTAGCGGATATTAAACGGTCGAAATCAAAATCTGGGATTAGATTATCCGCTTTTTGGTTCTTGACTTGGCCATAATTCCTCAAAGAGTGACAGCGGGCACAGAAAGTGACAGAGTAATCTGATTCTTCCCTCTTTGCCTCTCTCATCATTTTCTTCTTTTCGGCCTTTGAAATCTGCCCCTTCTTCAACTTCTTCAGCGTCTCAGATGTAATATTTCCATACCCAACACCAGGAAGGGCGAATCCATCCAATTCCTCCTTTCGCTTACTCTCTTCGTCTTCCTCAATGTTCCAATCCGAATCCCAATCGATCCCGCTATATTCTTCATCAGAAAGATCGTCAATTTCTGACCCAATATCAACTTTTGAAGAAGAATCCTCAAATTCTTCAACCAATTCCTCCATGAACTCATTGGAATCAAGGGGAAAATCTTCGGAAATGTCATCCCTCCGCTGAACAGAACCGGATGGCATCTGGTAGAAGCCGGGGAGATTGGAGTTCAAGTTCTGCATAAAGACACCGCACCCAGGGCAGATTAAGCGAGTTTCTTCTGGCCCCTTCCCTTCACTGACAACTGGGACTTTGTTCATAGATGGTATAGTGAGTGTGGCCTTGGAGCGAAAGCAGAAAGGAGGGGTTTTGCGATGGAAGAGACGAAGAATGAAAGATGGAGAACATTGTGGATAAGTAAAAGTCCAAGGGGAGGAGAGGCAGAACGCTCTCGTACATATTCTTCCGGTATGGAAGAACAGTTGAAGCTTCACTGGTGTCGTAGACGCTAAGACTATGGCTTCCGCCATGGTCTTGAGAGGGAACGCTCGAACTCTCACAGGATGCACTGGAGATAAAGGAAGATAAAAGGACAGAGAAATGTATTCACTAGCAAAGTCTAAGGTCATCTCCAAACGAAAAATTCATTTTCCACTAAAAAATACAGTAAAATTTCAAAAAAATGCAGTATCTTTGCGTTGAATCGAATTTCATTTTCTAATATTAAAAAAAGAATATTTCTAGGATATTCTTTTTCATATTTTATTTTATATATTTTTTATCATATATTCATATTTATCAATTTTAAACTTATTATAATTTTAAAAATTATGTTTTTTTTCCTCAATAAAAAAATTTGGGATATTAATATATCCTAAATAAGTAAATATATATTTAATACAATAAAAATACATAGAACACAAATATAAACGAAAAAATGTAAGAGCAGCTAAACATTAGAATTAGTATATTGATCCCACAAATAATCAATCAATGCATTTCGTAGTGCAATGTGGGCATCTTTATTCCTGATTTGTTTATGAAGAACGATATATTCTTGAAACTGAGTATTTTCATCCACCACTAATTCGACCTCTGAGGATGGCGCTTCTCTATCAATTTGAATAGGTCCAGTGAGATTGTGTTTATCTTCGAATATCATATTATGTAAAATTATGCATGTAGTCATTATATCATGCAGCACATCTTTGCTCCAAACATGAACATGTTCTGCCACAATTGCAAAATGAGATTGGAGAGCTCCAAAAGCACATTTCACGTCATTGAAAAATATTGTTTCTTTGGAGTACGTGGTTCATGAATAGTTTGCACAATGGTGGCCCATTTCGGATATATATTATCAGCCAAATAATAACCAATGTTATATTCTTTCCTTGAATGATGTAACGATAGGGAGGAGCTATACCTTGAGTGAGATTGGAGAATAGGTGAGAAGATTCCAACACGTTTATATCATTATTTGTACCTGAAAAATCAAAGTAAACATGCCATATCCAAAGATAATAACCTGTCACGGCTTTTAGAATAATTGTAGGTGATCCAGTACGTCCCGCTTATTGCCCAGCCCACCAGATAGGACAATTTTTCCACTTCCAATGCATATAATCTAAACTTCCCAACATCCCTGGAAAATGCTATTTGCATAATATGAGAAATTCAAAGCAGGTTGGAAGTTTGATCATGTGTGGAACATCATAAGAAATTTGAATATCTGCTAATAATGATAAATTAAGAGATGGCTTTTCTAATTCCATTTCTCCTTCTTCTACAATCAGTTTGAAATTTAAAAAACCTGTTTTATTAAAGAATAAAAAATGTTCTTAGTTGGAGCTATTTTCTTCCGATTTTAAACCCAAGCTGTCCAAAGAACTACAAGAGCTAGGACCAGTGAAAGATCAAACTAGAAGGAGGATTACTGATCACTGATGAAGAACGATTTGAAAAGTTTTTCCCAAAACCTTTCAGTAATATGATACCTGATTTTTTCATCTCAATCTGCAAAGCCGTAAGAGACATTAAGATGGAAATTCTAATCAAAGAATTTTCCATTTATTTTGCTTGGTATTACATAATTGGTATTTGGAAAAGACATCTAAAATACATATCATTGTTTTTCATAGGTATTTTGAGATTGTCTTATCCTTTTTGCAATTTTCTTTTGATTTTCTATTATAGCTGTTTTTTTCTTTTGACTTTTTTGTTTTTTAAACTTACTATATTTGTTTATGGGATCGTTACTGGATCCTATTCTTTAGCCGGATGGGAACTCTGGGATACTAACCAACCTTCGGGTTGTTTCAAATTATTAGTATCCCCTGCATCTCAATGGTTTCAAAATAGGAAACAGTGGGTTTCATTTCAAATTAATAGGTTTAAAGATAACAAAATTGCTTTCAATAAGAATCCTTTTTCTCTTGATCAAGGATCTTTTAGTTTTTTATTTTCTACTTTGTATTAGGCTGTTATTTCTTTTTTTTTTTAATGCAACTTTGCATTTTCTCAAAAAAAAAATCTAGTGCTAAACAAGTATCACATATGTCAAGCTTTAGGTATGCCTCATCAGAGTCAGAAAATCTAACCCCTGAATCTGGTAAACAACAATCTCCTGGAATCTCTATATTTTCTCTAAATTTAGATGATGAAGAATATAATGTTCATGGCTCTCAATCTGAACGATTGATTGTGGTGAAGAAAGCAAAGCTAAAAAGAAATATTGATGAAGAGATGTCAACTTTTATTAAAATTCTAGAAGATGGAAACACAGATTTGTTTGAGCAATTAAAAAGAACATGTGCGCAGAGACAACAACATATGGAGCTTCAAACTAAGAACTATGTCTTAAAAGAACTCAAGAAAGAAAATAAAATATTATTTCAAGATGTAAGTTCTATTCAAAATCCCGCTGTTCGTGCATTTATCCAAGCTGAACAAGCGTGAATTTTAGAAAAGAGGTTCGGACGATAACAAGACCAACAACAGCCTCCTTCTTCAAGCTCCTTTGGATAATTTCTCACAGATCTTGGAGGAGCTGACATCACTCTTCTAGATTATTAGATTGTCATAACTCGCTATTTTATTTTTTTTATTATCCGAACTTGTTTTGTATTTTGATTTCTTTTTTTTAAAGTATTGTAATACTCGATACCTTTTAAATATGTACTAGAAGTTTATCGTAATTTTTATGTTAATGTTTATCTTTAAAAAAATAATTACATAAGAAATATTTTAATTTTTGAAAAATAACATGTTTTTAAATTATTAATTATTTATAATGTAAATTATACTTAAAAATTTAAAATCAGAAATCAATTATATATATATATATATA